CAACACGGGGCTCCAACTCACGACCTTGAGATCAAGAGTAGCAGGCTCCATGGACTGAGCCAGCGAGGCGCCCCTCTTCTGATTTGTTAATGTAAGACAGCCCGAATCTTTCCACACCAAGTGCTCTGCCATTGTATTGCTTTTCCACTAGTAGTTAGGGAGCAATTTTCAATTTTTCCCTCTGGGAAGATTTATTTTTTGTATCTAATCCTTAATGGTTATTGACTTTGGCTTCATATTTCTCTTAAAATGGCTAAAAATATCTACAGAGTCAGTATATTTTTGACTCCTTGTCCTCCTCAGAGTACTCCATGTGAAAAGCTTTCTGGAATTTTCTTTTTTTTTTTTTAACACTTTTTTAAAAAGTTTGTTTGTTTGTTTGTTTATGTAATCTCTACGTGGGGCTCGAACTCACAACCCCGAGATCAAGAGTCATATGCTTCACTGACTGAGCCAGCCAGGTGCCCCCGAAAATTTCCTTTTACTGCAATTTTAAATAGTAGTTCATTTGAAATTTCGGGGCTGGGATCATTTTAAATGTTAAATTCTTTCCTCATATCTTCCCTGCACAAGCTAAAAAATTACACAGATATATAATATGCCTACTTATCATTATGTGTGTATCATATGTGTACATATATTTGTACATATTTGTTCACTGTGGCAGATTTTGAATAGTCTTAATTAGTATTGCAAGTGATTAAAATATTCCATTATGTATACATATTGCTATGGTCTGAATGTTTGTGTCCCCCAAAATTCATGTGTTGAAATCTTAATGTTCAATGTGATGGTATTAGAATGTGGGGCTTTTGGGGAGTGATTAGGTCATGAGACTGGAGCACTCACAGATGGGATTAGTGCTCTTATTTCCTTTTTTTTCCTTTTTAAGATTTTAGTTTTTTGAGAGAGAGAGAAAGACAGATGAGAGAGAGCACAAGCAATGCGAGAGGCAGAGGGAGAGGGAGAAGCCAACTCCCCGCTGAGCAGGGAGCCTGATGCGGGGCTCGATCCCAGGACCCTGGGGTCACGACCTGAGCCGAAGGCAGATGCTTAACATAATGAGCCACCCAGGCACCTGGGATTAGTGTCTTATAAAAAGAGACCCCCACAGAGCTCCCTAGCCCCTTCTTCCATAGAGTGAGAAGTCACCCTCACCCACCCATGCTGACTGGCACCTTGATCTTGGACTTCCAGCCCCCAAAACTGTGAGCAACAAATTTCTGTTGTTTATGAGCCACCCAGTCTGTGGTATTTGGTTATAGCAGCCCAAATGGACTAAGGCACGCGTGCGGTCACGCACACGCACACACACAAACATACAGCTATTCATATACACATGTATACGTGTGAATATTGTGTATGTATATACATGAAGTTGGTGTAGATCCTTCCCATGCAAGTTTGTCTACTTATGCTACACGTACACTTGTCCGGACACAATATATAGCATCTCCCTTCCATTTCCTTGCCGGTTTCTAAAATGAATGGGCTCCCTCTGCTTCCCCTTCCTTTGCCACTCATTCCTTAGCTGCCTGCCACCTGGACTCTCATCCCTGCTCCATAGTCTGGCCTGCAAGGGTTCACCATAGTCAATAACCATTCCCCAGTCCTCACTGTCTGGCTTTGCATCGTTTCTTGCTCTCTCCCTCTCGACTCTCTTCTCCATTAAAGGGTCCTATGAAAAAAGAAAAGACCAAAAACTAATGATGTAATATATGGTGATTAACATAACAATAAAAAAATTAAAAGAAAAGAAAAAGACTGGGGCGGTCTGCTCCCTGTGATATGAGAGGGTGGGGCCCTGGGGCCAGTGTCCTGCTTTGCCAGTCCCTGTTTGCAGATCAGTTTCCTGTCCTGACCTCTGGCTGCTCACATCCTAATGCGTGTTTCGTAGCTGGGTGTTCTGCTGTGTCTTTAAGCCAAACATGCCAGAAATATAGTTCCTTATCTTCGACAAAGCCAGCTTCCCTAGCTTCTCATTTTCTGTCAATAACATCATCACCAGGCATGAAACCTGAGTCATCTTTAACTCCTTTCTTGACTTCACACCCACACTCACCTAGTCTTGTTGATTCTTTAAAAAAAAGAAAAAGGTTTGAATTTATGAAATATTTCAAACACATAGAAAGGAACAGAACATAAACACCTGTTTAACCACGGCTCAGACATGACAAATCCTAATATTTTGCCACATGGGCTTCAGAGTTTTTCTTTTTTCTTTAAAATCTTTGTTCCACGGGGCACCTGGCTGGCTCCAGTCAGAAGAGCGTGTGACTCTTGATCTCAGGGTTTGTGAGTTCAAGCCCCACGTTGGGTGTAGAGATGACTTAAATAAATAAACTTAAATAAATAAATAAAATTTTTGTTCCAGTTTTTTTTTTTAATAAAGATTTTGTTTCTTTAAGTCATCTCTACACCCAACGCAGGGCTCGAACCTACAGCCCCGAGATCAAGAGTCACACGCTCCTCCTACTGAGTCAGCCAGGTGCCCAGTTCCAGTTTTATTGAGCTATAATTGACATACATCTCTGTACAAATTTAGGGTATAGGGCACAGTGACTGGAGGTACCTATATTGCAAAACGATTACCACAATCAGTTTAATTAACATCCATCTCGTCACAGAGTTACAAAAATTTTCAGTTTCTCAAGAAATAAAACATTGTTAATATATTTGTTTTTTTAAAGATTTTATTTATTTATTTGAGAGAGAGAGAGAGAGAGAGATAGAGAGAAAGCAGTCGCTCAACCAACTGAGCCACCCAGGCGCCCTGTTAATATATTTGAAATGTCCTCTCTCCCTTTCCTCAGTCCTATTCTCCACTCCCTTAGAAGTAACCACTATCTAAATTCTGTATACAACTTCCATGCAAGCTTTGATACTCTTACTACATACGCACTTATCTATTAACAATATATAATATTGTTTTGTGTATTTAAAAATTTTACAAAGGGCGCCTGGGTGGCTCAGTTGGTTGAGCGACTACCTTCGGCTCAGGTCACGATCCTGGAGTCCTGGGATCGAGTCCCGCATCGGGCTCCCTGCTCAGCGGGGAGTCTGCTTCTCCCTCTGACCCTCTTCCCTCTCGTGCTTTCTATCTCTCATTCTCTCTCTCAAATAAATACATAAAATCTTTTAAAAAAATAAAAAAATAAAAATTTTACAGAAATGGTACATTGTACCCAACATCCTACAAATTGCTTTTGTAATTCAACATAATGAACTTTAAAAATTTATCAATTTAAATTCAATTTCGTTAACATATAGTGTATTATTAGTTTCAAGGGTAGAATTTAGTTATTTTGCACATAACACTCAGTGCTTATTCCATCAAGTGCCCTCCTTACTGCCCGTCACCCCAGCCCCCTACCCATCTCCCCTCCAGCAACCTTCAGTTTGTTTCCTATAGTTAAGAATCTCTTATGGTTTGCCTCCCTCTCTGTTGTTATTTTATTTTCCCTTCTCTTCCCCTGTGTTCATCTGTTTTGTCTCTTTTTATTTTTTATTTTTAGAGATTTTATTTATTCATTTGAGAGAAGGAGAACATACAAGCGGGGTGGGGGGGGGCAGAGGGAGAGGGAGAAGCAGGCTTCCCGCTGAGCAGGGAGCCCGATGTGGGGCTTGATCCCAGGACCCTGGGATCATGACTTGAGCCGAAGGCAGACGCTTAATGACTGAGCCACCCAGGCATCCCTCATCTGTTTTGTTTCTTAAATTGCACATATGACTGAAATCATACGGTATTTGTCTTTCTCTGACTGACTTATTCCGTTAGCGTAATACCCTCTAGTTCCATCCATGTCGTTGCAAATGGCAAGATTTCATTCTTTTCAATGACTGAGTAATATTCCATTGTATACATATACCACAACTTCTTTATTCATCTGTCGATGGACATCTGGGACCCCAATGTTTATAGCAGCAATGTCCACAATAGCCAAAATATGGAAAGAGCCCAAATGTCCATCAGCATAATGATTTTGAGTGTTATTCATATTAATACATGCATATCTAGCTCATTCCTTTGAGCTGTTATAAGTGATTCCATTGTATGAATATGCTACAATTTATTTACCCATTCTCCTACTGACACACAGATTTGTTCCAATTTTTCACCATCACCAGTGATACTGGAATGACCTTTTTTTTAATTTTATTTTATTTTTAATTTTTTTATTGTTATGTTAATCACCATACATTACATCATTAGTTCTTGATGTAGTGTTCCATGATTCATTGTTTGTGCATAACACCCAGTGCTCCACGCAGAACGTGCCCTCTTGAATACCCATCACCAGGCTAACCCATCCCCCCACCCCCCCCAGAACCCTCAGTTTGTTTTTCAGAGTCCATCGTCTCTCATGGTTCGTCTCCCCCTCCGACTTACTCCCCTTCATTCTTCCCCTCCTGCTATCTTCTTCTTCTTCTTTTTTCCTTAACATATATTGCATTATTTGTTTCAGAAGTACAGATCTATGATTCAACAGTCTTGTACAATTCACAGCACTCACCATAGCACATACCCTCCCCAATGTCTGTCACCCAGCCACCCCATCCCTCCCACCCCCCACCACTCCAGCAACCCTCAGTTTGTTTCCTGAGGTTAAAAATTCCTCATATCAGCGAGGTCATATGATACGTGTGGAATGACCTTTTTTTAAAAATATGGAACGCGGGGTACCTGAGTGGCTCAGTCAGTGAAGTATGCAACTCTTGATCTGGGGGATGTGAGTTTGAGCCCCACATTGGGTGCAGAGATTACTTAAAAATAAAATCTTCAGGGCCACCTGGGTGACTCAGATTAAGCGTCTGCCTTCAGCCTAGGTCATGGTCTTGGGGTCCTGGGATTGAAGCCCCACGTCGGGCTCCCCGCTCATCCGGGAGTCTGCTTCTCCCTCTCCCTCTGCCCCTCCTCCCGCTCATGCTCTCTCTCACTCTCAAATAAATAAATAAATAATCTTTAAACGAAAAAAAATTAAAAACAAAATTGTTAAAAATAAAATATGGAACGCTTCACAAATTTACGTGTCATCCTTGCATGGGGCCATGCTAATCTCTGTATTGTTCCAATTTCAGTGTATGTGCTGCCCAAGTGAGCAGTGGAATGACCATCCTATACATGTTTCCTTGTGCACCTATGTAAGAGTTTTTCTGGAGTTTGTATAGCCAGGATCATCCTTGCATTTCTTGTGAACTAGTAATTTATGAAAATTCCCTTTTCTCCTCATCCTCATGACTGTTACTATCAGACTTCCTTCTAAAAACATTCACATTCTATTCTCATATGTAAGTATTTCATTATTCCGGGATTTATTTTTGTCCATGGTGTGTGGGAGTGATCTATCAATGTCTTCCATTTGGACGACCAATTTTTCCAGAACCATTTAATCAATAGTCCATCCTCTCTCTTCTTATTTATAACGTCACCTCAGTCATGTAGCAAGTTTCCATATATGAGTGCGTCTGTCCTGGTTTCTCTGTTCCATGCCATTGAAACACTTACCTGTCCCTGGGCCAATGCCACGATGTCTTCATTGCTATATCTTTATAATAAGTCATCGTACCTGGTAAGGAAAATTCACTCTTCTTGTTCTTCAGAATATGTGAGTTATTGACTCTTCTCTTCCATACAATTTGGAGGACCAACTTACCAAATTCCATGCGCGCACGCGCACACACACACACACACACACCTGCAGGGATTTTTATTGGAATTGTATTAAATTTATAGATCATTTGGGAGAGAATTGATCTCTTTATGATACTGTGTCTTCCCATCATTGAACATTGTGTACCTCTCTCTTTAGTAAAGTCATCTTCTAATTTTCGCTAGAAAGGTTCTACGTATCTTTTGTTAAATCTGCTTAACAAAAAGCTAGTTGTTTAATAGCTTTTGTCCTATTATGAGTATTTTTTCTATTTTGGTTTTTGATTAGTCATTCTTAATATACAGAATCCTCTTGAATTTATATATATATATTTTTTTTTCTTAAATAAGCTCTAAGCCCAACATGGGACTCGAACTCATGACCCTGAGATCAAGAGTCACACACTCCACCAACTGAGCCAGCAGGCACCCCCACTGGTTAACTATTTAGAAAAAAAGTCTATTTATCAACACCCCCACTTCATGCACATTAAAGGGTAAAAATAAATAAGTAAAACCATAAGAATCCAGAAGACAGTCTAAGTGAATATTTATCTGATCTCTAGAAGGGGAAAACTGTTCTATGTATGGGGGCGGGGAAGCAAGAGATTGATCATGTAAACCTCTGTAAATAAAAGGATCATGAATTAAAAGACTAACAATAAGCCAAGCACGGAATAATGTACTTATTGCATGAAGCGCTGATGCCGTGTCTGATAAAGAACACGGAGAGACCCCGACAGAGAAACGACGAGCACAAGCCTGATCTGTTCGCGAAGGGGGGATAAAAATGATGAGGGACTAAGAGATTGTTTGGCCCCACTAAAAACCCCGGAAAGGTAAATTAAAACAATAATTAAATGTCATTTCTTGCCTGTCAAATTAGCAAACATATTTTTGAAGTGAGACTGTCGGTGAATTAGAAACTCCTATTCATTGTTGGCGCTTCTTTTTATTATTATTTTTTTAAAGATTTCATTTATTTATTTGACAGAGAGAGTGAGACAACAAGGGAGGGAGCCCAGGCGGGGGAAGCGGGGGAGGGGGAGCCCGATGCGGGACTCGATCCCAGGACCCCGGGACCGTGACCGGAGGGCGGACGCTTAACGACTGAGCCACCCAGGCGCCCCTGGCGCTTCTTTTTAGTAAAGCAACGTGGTTGTCTGAAATACTCATTCACGGCTGCCCGTCACCTTTTGAACAGCATTTCTGTTAGGGTTGCCAGATTTAGCAAATACAAATATAGGACGCCTGGTTAACTTTGAACTTCAGATAAACAACAAATAATTTTTAAGTGCAATTATGTCCCATATATGTTTGGGAAGACTTATATTAAATATTATTCATTGTTTATCTGAAATTTGAACTTAACCAGGTATCCTGTATTTTATCTGGCAACCTCAGTTTTTATATTTGTGGAAATTCCAAGTTTATAAGCCCTGTGTCAGATTCTCAGTGTCTCTCGCTGCTAGCCTGCAAGCAGGTGACCTCAGCTTTGCTTTCAGGAGACTTAGATTTGACAGTGAGGGTGGTAATTAAACCAGGCTCTGCATGGAGCTTCTCTTTTTGCTGACATGGATGATGAAAGGAGAGATTCTGCTTTCTTCTGGGGCTGGCGACAGTGTAGGGCAGTGAGGTTTTTTATAGTGAGGTTCAAAGCCACCATATATGTACAACTCTAGGATGTGCCATTTACTTAGGCTATGATCTTTTGCATCAAGCTTGTTCAGTGACCTGGTTTGGGGCATCGTTTCAGGCAGTTTAGACTTGATTATCCAGTCCTGCCAACAATTCTGTGAAAAACTCAATATCCTTTAGAAACTCCTTTTCCGCTAAACCTTCCAGAGTCAGCATCTACTGCTCTTGATTAAGAATCTTGACTGACTGGGGGTGCCTGGCTGGCTCAGTCGGCAGAGCGTGTGACTCTTGATTTCAGGGTTGTAGGTTCGAGCACCCACATTGTGGGTTGTGGGTTTGAGCATCTACATTGGATGTAGAGATAACTTAAAAATAAAATCTTAAAAAAAAAGAATCCTAATTCGTAGACTGTATGTATCAAAAGCCTTAAAAATGTGCACATCGAGTCCCCATTCTAAGACATTTCACTCTGTACTGTGGACAAAAATTTGTGCGCAAAGGTGTTCATCTAAGTGTTATTTAGAAAACTGAAAAACTGGGGGCGCCTGGTGGCTCAGTCGCTTAAGCGTCTGCCTTCGGCTCAGGTCAGGATCCCAGGGTCCTGGGATTAAGCCCCAAGTCGAGCTCCCTGCTCAGCGGGGAGCCTGCTTCTCCCTCTCCCTCTGGCTCTCCCCTGGCTTGTGCTCTCTCTCTCAAATTAATAAATAAAATCTAAAAAAAAAAAACAACCAAAAAACTGGAAACAATCTAAACCTCAAACATCTAGTTCTAGAAATCGGGAGTCTGTGCAATCATTAAATGGAATCGTTAGAGGAATATTTAAGGACATGGAAAATGCTATAATATTAAGTGACAAAATCAAGATAAAAATGTACATATGTCGTATGATCTCTATTGTGTAAAAACAAACAAAAAAGGGCAGGAAAAGAATCTGGAAGAAAATATGCCAAAATGGTGTTGCTCTGGGTTATCAGCTTATTTTTTTCCTGCTTTTTTATACTTTTCGATTTGTTACATAGTGAGTAAGAATTATTCTTGTAGGAGCACCTGGCTGGGTCGCCAGGTGGAGCCTGAGACTCTTGATCTCAGGGTTTTGAACTGGAGCCCCATGTTGGGTGTAGCGATTACTTAAAAATAAAATCTTAAAAAAAGAAAAAAGAATTGCTCTTGTAGCCATAAAAAGAAATCTCTTCTCTAACCCTATTGGACAATCTGTATCCTACCAGGCAGACGCATTTGCATTGTGCAAACAAACTGGGTGATTTCTGTGGGGGTGGGGATTCCATGGGAATGAGATTTTATTTTATTTTATTTTTTGGTTTTTTTAAAGATTTATTTATTTTAGAGAGAGAGAGCACAAGCGGGAGAGGCAGAGGGAGAGGGAGAAAGAATCTGAAGCAGGCTCCACGCTGAGCGCAGAGCCCCACACGGGGCTCAATCCCATGACCCGAGATCACAACCCAAGCCAAAACCTAGGGTCGGAAGCTCAAATGACTTTGCCACCCAGGCGCCCCCATAGGAATGGAATTTTAGAGTGACATGCTGAGTCAGGCCATGAGAACAAAATAGCAAGAGCTCACTGCTTCCTTCAATGCCATTCACAACAGAACTTTTTTTTTTTTTATATTTTATTTATTTGCCAGAGAGAGAGTACAAGCAGGGGGAGGAGCAGAGACGGAGGGAGAAGCAGACCCCCCGCCGAGCAGGGAGCCCGATGCGGGGCTCGATCCCAGGACCCTGGGATCATGACCTGAGCTCAAGGCAGATGCTTAACCGACTGAGCCAACCAGGTGCCCCACAACAGAACTTCTGGAGAAATACCCCCAAACCCCTTAGAGTTATACCGCGCTCGGATTGATTCTCACAGTTTGCTTTTCACTTGCTTAGGAGCCCCCGACTGCCTTCCAGCATCCGTTTTGGAAATCCCTCCTGTATGAGGTGGACAAATCTAACCAGGCAGATCTAAATATTATAATCTGGTTAACAGCTTCAACAAAATGCATCTTCTTGGAGTGTACATTTTTACTAGATGATGAGTAACTTTAAATGGTATTTAAAAAAAAATTTTTTTTAAGATTTTGTTGTTAAGTAATCTCTACACCCAACATGGAGCTCGAACTCACAACCCCAAAATCAAGAGTCACATGCTCCACTAAGCCAGCCAGGTATCCCAAATGGTATTTTTATATTATAACAAACTTGGATATTTTATGTGGTAAAAAGCAAAGTTTGCATGGATTTTTATTTTATTTTATTTTTTAAGATTTTTTTTAAAGATTTTATGTATTTATTTGACAGAGAGAGACACAGCGAGAGAGGGAACACAAGCAGGGGGAGCGGGAGAGGGAGAAGCAGGCTTCCCGCCGAGCAGGGAGCCCGATGCGGGGCTCGATCCCAGGACCCCGGGATCAGGACCTGAGCTGAAGGCAGATGCTTAACGAATGAGCCACCCAGGTGCCCCTGCATGGATTTTTAAAGTAAAACCCAAGACTTCAGTGAAATTTTAGGCTTACAGCATTCATACACCTCTACTTTGGAATATTTCTGTAGAAAAATGTGGGAAGTACAAAAGGGTGTACTTTTGCTTCTCTGTTAGGTAGGCATTCAATTTCTCCGCATATCTGAGCCATAAGTTCTTCACAGAACATCTCTGACTGCGTAGGGAGTCCGGGGACAGAGGCAGGGCATAACTGAGAATAAGGCTCATTCTATTTAACAACTTGGCATTTATTTGGAGTAAAGAAGTTGTGGTACATATATAATGGAATATTATTCAGCCATACGAAATGAAGAAATCCTACCATTTGTGATATGG